AAGTCGACTGGACCAGCGAGAAGGGAAAGGCAGCTCTGAAGCGCACCGCCCCGGACTACTTCCTGCACCAGGGAAGGGGCGCCCAGTCGACTGGAGCAGCGAGAAGGGAAAGGCAGCTCTGAAGCGCACCGCCCCGGACTACTTCCTGCACCAGGGTAAGGGGCGCCCGGTAGCCTCAGGATCACAGCCCGCCCAGGGGCCCAGGGGTGGGGACAGGCCAGTTCCCCCCGTGCCTCCGTTTCCCTGCCTTGCAGTGAGGCAGCCATAATTCAGTTCCTCTGGCGAGCGGCGGGGGGAGGCAGGCTGTGAGGCTTTCTCCCACATGAGAACGGCCGGACGGGGTCGGGCCAAAGGCCCATCCAGCCCAGTGTCCTGTCGGCCGACCACGGCCAATGCCGGGTCCCCGGAGGGAGGGAACAGAACCGGGAACCGTTCCGTGACCCCTCCCGTCGCCCATTCCCAGCCCCGACACACAGAGGCCAGGGACCCATCCCTGCGCAGCCTGGCTAATTGCCAGTGATGGACTGATCCTCCAGGAATCTGTCTAGCTCTTTTGAACCCTGTTAAAGCCCTGGTCCTCACCACATCCTCTGGCGAGGAGTTCCACAGGTTGACCGTGCGCTGAGTGAAGGAAAACTTCCTTAGGTTTGTGTCAAACCTGCTGCCTCTTCATTTCATTGGGGGACCCCTGGTTTGTGTGTTCTGAGAAGGAGTAAATCTTTTGGCTTTCTCCACGCCAGCCATGAGTTTAAGACCTCCCCCGGGTTGGCTCTTCTCTAAGCTGAACAGTCCCGTGTTTATGAGCGATCCTCAGACGGTGCCGTGCCAAAGGCCCCCATCTCCCCCTCCCCCATCTCCTCCTCCGCTGCCCTTTTCTGAACTTTTCCCAGCGCCAGCGTGTCTGTATTGAGGTCGGCGATCACGTCAGCCCGCAGCGTTCAGCCCCGGCGCGGGCCGGGCTGGTGAGAGGCCCTGCGCAGCCTGGCGCTCTGAAAGCCGCGCTCGTCCTGCGGATCTGGCCCGGGATCTGCCTGGGGGTGCGTCTGCCCGGCGAGTGAGCCCGAGGCGGCGCTGGGCCCCGCGCAGCCGAGCGAGCAGGCGGCACTTCCTGTGGCAGGAGCTGGCTTTGATTTGTTGGCTTTGAGGTTGCCGCAGGTTTCCCATCACTGCAGGGAGCTAAAACGGCGCTGGGCCCCGCGCAGCCGAGCGAGCAGGCGGCACTTCCTGTGGCAGGAGCTGGCTTTGATTTGTTGGCTTTGAGGTTGCCGCACGTTTCCCATCACTGCAGGGAGCTAAAAATACCCGGGCGGGCGTGGAGCCGGCCTCGCGCCCTGGAGCGGAAGCGCCCTGCCAGTGGGGAGGGGCTGACCGGGCCCCGCCGGGTGCTTTGCCCGCTGCTCTCGGGTGGTGGCG